CCCCCCCCCAGAGTGGTGTCGGTAGCCTGTGAAGACGTGACAACACAACATCAGGTAGAAGTGGCATACAGGTCATCAGTTGAAAATGCAACGGCTTCACCATAAGCAACGCAAGGAGCGAGATCTTCGAATTGATGTGTATGTCGGGTATGCATTTAGATCCCAGCAATCGCCCTCAACTGCTGTATGCTCAAGGTCTGTCCCTCGAAAGGAAGAGTAAATTTTTCAGAAACAGCGGTACTGAGTGCAGGTGTACGCATAGTCTACATCGTACATAGACCTATAGAAGACCTTCCTACGGGCTGAGGGTGCACGAGCTTGCAGCATATGCAATCCTGATGCTCTCGTGCGTCTAGAGCTGTTTTTTGCGGTTTCTTCGCCCCTGGACCTCGCCTCGTGGCGATACTTGAATCTAAGGATAGCCCTGAGTTGCGAGCGCCCTCCCGCTGTGCCACGCGCTAGGGAGGGCAGAAAGTCGCCTCTGATATCTACCACGACTCGCCCAATCAGAGCGCGATTTAGTGACAGTCAAGGCCACATTCATACTTACATTGCTTAAGAGGCTGACGTCGTCCTATTTTGTGTGCTGGCTAAATGTACATACCCACACGCGACATCCAAGCAACCAAGTCTCCGCATGCCGCAACACGAAGTACCCTAGTGCTTTAGTGTGTCTCCCTTTCGATCCCGAAGAAAAGCGGGGAGGGGGGTTGCGACCAGTGTCGTGCGCACAGAAGCCTGGAAACTACACCTCAAGAACACTACTGTGTACAACCAATACGATTGGGTGACTGGGTCGAACGTGGTGGTCTCCATGTCGGAATGCCATTTCTCGGAACATTCCTTGGGCAGGTGCAGCCCGTCACAGCAACCTAGCACTTCTAATGGTGCACAGCAGTGCACAGCAACCAAGCCCTTTGGGTCGGTTTGGGGATAGGGCCACATCCGAGGTTCTTAGGCCATTGCAAAAAATGTGGACAGCAGTACGTGTAGGGTTTGGAATCAGAAATCAATACTATGAAAGTAAAGCTTCGGAAGCGTTGCGTCCATTGGGGCAAAAATAAATGTGCTCCGCCCGCCCTATCGGGATGTACATATACTGTGGGACTAGGACTTAAGAAATATTTGTTTTCGGCGTGGTGTTGGAGCGGCATATCCACGTCCATTTCGGTGCATGGTCTCTGTATGCGTACAACTACATAACTCGACGACATTGTTCTTGCTGCGGTGTTTCTTGTTTCTTGCCACTTGCAACATGTGCAAATTTTCCTCTCGCTGTACTCCGGCCGTCGCTTTACTTCGGTATATCCATTGTGCGTATGTACCCGCTCCTCGAAAAATACATGAGCACAACAACTCTTCACAAAGACTACATATGCCGCACGTCTCCTGCCTCTCACCTTAAAACTCGACTCGCACACACTTTATACATCGCAATACAGCCTACGCGAAGCGCCCTCGTATGCAAAACACATATCTTCAACCTCGGCTCCCCCCCCCACACACCTGGCCTTTGGCCGACGTGACCGTGTCGACGATCGAGTCCCAAACATTTCCTATTGCACCAAGGGATTCGCCAACCGAAGCCTGGGCAGAGTCTGCCAGATCTGAAGCAGCTCCTAAGACGTCCGGAGCTTGCTGTGCCAGATCGCCGAGGGTACTGCGTGACCGTTGTTGCATGTTGCATTGTCATGAAGGAAACCAACCACACAAGTCAGGGGCACGCCCACAGCATGCACATAACTCAGTCCTCGGAGAGCCCATTCAAAAGCGAGATACATGCCAACGCGTCCACCAATTGAAAGTAGGGAGTCGTGTAAGTTAACATGTACACTCTGTTTGGGAACAGCGATGGCATGGCAGGGCTGGCGTTGATGCGGTGTCCGTTGGGATACCGCTTGTAGTTGAACTCGTCGCGGGATGGATATCCAAAGTTACAGTTTACATGTGCGCTCTCTCACATAACTGACGTTGCGTTTGGTCCAGAGAACTTCCGCACCTGAGCGAAGGGTCATTATCTGCGGCCAAGAGTAGCGATATCACGGGTTCGATGTGATGGCCGAGCGCCATGCGAAGTGGCCGCGTACCGCTGCTGGTGCTGTACGAAGTTGCTGCCGATGTAGGGAGTCGACTGTTGGATAAATGTGGATGCACTAGAAGGCTGTTGCAATCTCGCGCCAGGATGGCTACACTCGATACCACAAACAACGTAGATGACCCGGTCATTGCGCTGTCGGCTGGCTTGCTGAAGATGAAAAGGATGGAACCTGGAGAAAGTGTTTGAACGTTGGACCAAACTCAACTGCTGGCCCGATCTGGGAGTCCACACAGATAGGATCGGCATGTATCCCTTCGGAGGCCACTTTACAATTGTCTTGTCCAGGGAGACCCTTTTTCCTTTTTAATCACGTCAAAATATATATTTTTTGTCTTCACTTCAATCACAGCGCTCACAGCACTAGTTAGTGCCGTTTTCCAATTCGTGGTCTCGACGAAGATACCCTCTCTACCTTCCCCTCCTATGGTACGTTGCCTTCGATTTTTAATGCGAGAAGAGTTCAGCACTCTCTTCCCTCTGTGTACACACGAACTAGCGCTAGCGCTATCCACTTACTAAATAATAGGCCAGGAGAGGAAGCTACCAGAGAAAAACTCACTTTTCTGCAAGAAAAGCTCGCTTACGCCGGGATTCGAACCCCTGACCTGACCTCTGGAGGATTTCGACGATACCAACCAGACCTGACCTCTAGAAGGTTTCGAGGATACCAACTAGACCACCGCGGCGACCAGCGACTAAGAGCGCTCACATAATTGTTTTTTTGTGCCATTTACTGCAGCAGACCCTGACGTACTCGCTTGCGCCAGGATTCGAACCCCTCACCCTGGCCGCTAGAAGGTTTTCGCGGACACGAACTAGACTGCCAGAGCAACCGGCAGTTTGCTCAAGAGATTGTCAGAGGCCCCGTGGCTGAAAAAAGTGGTTCGCTTCGTATTTTTGGTAGCCGACGTTCGTAGAGTTTGAGATGTGGTTTGAGTCTCGGAGCAGTCACAAGAACTTATCACAACAAATTGTTCGAGAGCGATGAATAGTTGGTATGTTTAGTTCGTCTTCCCCGCTAGTTACACTTCATCACAAGGTCGGGTGAAAAATCTGCAAAATATTTGACGACACCCGCTGCTCTAATGCACGTGTGTCTAATCGCGTTGTCTTCGACGTACGTACGCGGGTGACATTCCCCTCTACAGGAACGAAACAAAAAAAAAAGCTGTCTGTTGTTTTCGCTGTTGCGCGCTTTGCCGATCCCCTGGAGCCTGTCAGCATGTGCGGTATACACAACATGTGCGGGGGTCACCTGTTGTTTCCCCAATGCTGGAAGGAAACACTCTAGGTTGCATTCTTGCGAAACCATGGTATCATGGTATCTCCCTATTTTCCTGGTTCCTCTTAGCTGGCGCATGCAGAGACTGGTATCGATCGTCAACGCATTCGACACCTTATGACATGCCTATCAAGGCCCAAACGTACGAGCCAAGCATATTGCTGGAAAACTATGCTCTTCTATAATCGTTTCCTGCGACGACTAGAACAGGTCTCGACTCTCCACTGCGTCCGGTTACCGAGGGGCTTCGAAAAACCCCACCGAATTGCTGCCCAGAACCGTACAACGACGGTCAGCCTAGAAACACCTGCATCGGAAACAAAATGTAAAAAATAGACAAAAGGTAAGATAGGCGTTTCTTGTCTGACCTACTAAACATTTGACGTGACTGACGCCGCACCAAACGAACTCACCAAGAGCAAACGCCTCGGGTGTGTTGACGTTTACTTGGAGCATGCCTAAATTTGAGACCAAACAGATCCAACAACGTGAATCCCTCCAGAACACATCGACAACCAACATGATTGTTGGCAGATGCGATGCGTGTATATCAACTCTAAATGATTGGAACAGCTTCTGCCTGCTTAGGGCAATCCCTCAGAGCAGCAAACCAGGCATGCACAACAGCAGGGAATCGGTAGAGGAGGCCAGGTACCATATTCCTTCCAGGCACTCGGCAGGAACAGCGAGGACACACCATTGAATTGAACGCCAAATCCGCCCTCTTTCTTACCTTGAAGGTTCTCTCGATCGTGGGTGCTGGTGTTGGTGCACCCCATCAAGCTCCCTGGCCGCTTCATTTTACAAATCGTGGAGCCTCCGGTGGCAGGTGCACCAGATCCGTGTCGAAAAGCTCGATAAATTGTTCATTCTGTACTCTGACCTAACGAACAACGAATGCCGGAGGGCGCGAAACTCTTGCACTGCGGTCGAGGAAAGTAAGAGTCACACATGTTTTCGGCCATCCTAATTTGGGGTAGCGAGGCGAACAAACACAATCAACGGGGGGATTCGGCAACGTACGCAATGCTACAATACACAAACGTAAACAATAATTATTGGTCTTCTGTTGTAGCCTTGCTTCAGCCTGACTCTCCGACAAGGGGATCACTTGAGGGTGTCTGACATGGCATGGCATATTCAAGGAAGATATTCTCTACGACGCAAACATCAAAGAGAGACGTCGCACACGTGAAGGCATGACCACGAGATCTCACGAGTACCAAAACTCCAGCTAGCTTCACATCCGCGAACAATCATATGGCAAACAGGGCTTGAGAATCGCACCTTGTGTTTGGTGAACCGACGGTACTCTTCAAAGATTGATGTCAAATTCCATCGCTGAAGTTTCCGAAGGCACGCCACCACCGTTCCTTTGCAGCAAGCAGGCCACGTTGTGCAAAAAAGAGTTGGCACAACGTGGATCATAAATGCTGTGCTACCTGATCATTCGCTGCGCACGATCATCTCTACCTTGTCCTCTAGTACCAGGCACCTATTTCTCAGGCTTGGCTACCGGGTGTACAGCAGTAGTACAAGTCAGCAAACCAAACAACGACCTGTGGCAACGACAACGAACAAGCTAACCGACAGGTGTACCACGATGGCAGCCTTTGCTTCTCACCCGTCCTGTGCTTGCCAGTGTTGCACGTTACAAGAACTGGATAATGAACAGAGTCCACAATGCGTTCGAGGGCCGCCAACACGATCTCCTCTCCAACAGGTGCCCAACTCTTGTTGCGCTTGTCGTCGTGTTCTCCTAGGGATACCAGAGTCACGTCTTGGTCCTCCAGAAAACTCACCCTAAGGACGTGGAGAAGCGCAAAAACATGGTAAAAGGAAGGGTGGTCAGCCTACCTCAAGGTCGAACCAAGCTTGGTTGAGCACGAGTGTGCCAACCGAGGTCACTTTCTCTGTGCCTGCCGGACCACCGATAGTTATGCATACAATACACGAATACGCAAGAAAATAACATTGATCACCCTCATTGACTAATCGGTGGGAGATCGCACGTTTTTGGGTGTGATTCTCTGCCTGCGCAACCAACGAAAGCAATGCAGACGATACACGAATACAGAACGCGCCCGCACTTAGAACTCAGGAGTCAAAGATATTGAGCAAAAAACAAATAACAATATTTAAGAACTTGAGCACCAATTGTGAGCTCGGTTAAGAACCCCTGCACTAAGAATCATATGGCGACCATTCGTGGCATGACCCTAGGAACTATGACTCAGCCTCGGCCGACCCTAGAGGTTCTCAAGTGCGGGTGTGTTCTGTACACAGCACAGTAACAGTGATCACCCTCATTGACTCATTGACTAATTAGTCGGTGGGAGATCGCACGAACTGCTTTTTTGAGTGGGCTCGCATGAACAGGCCACACAAAGCGCATGCCAATTATGACAGAGGTTCTCTCCCGTATTTTGCGCATATCATAGAGGTTGTGGAGATGGATATTGTGGACCTGGTACAATATGCATCCCACGTAAAGATGCGTCCATAAAATAGATGTATGCGTATCATACCATTTCATGTAATCGATGACGATGAACTCTTCGTCCTGGGACAACTCCATACCATCCTCGTCAAGGTGTGGAACGGAGGAGACATCCCGCGAGTGTGGAAGGATGCAATCATCAACGTGCTCTACAAGAAGGGTGACCGGTCCAACTGTAACAACTACAGGGGGGTTTCGCTACTATCGCATGTAGGCAAGGTCCCCATCAAGATCATCACCAACCGTCTAAGCGCCTTCTGCGAAGCCAACAACATCCTCCCGGAGGAACAGTGCGGATTTCGACCCGAGCGATCCACCGTTGACATGCTGTTCGTCGTGCGCTGCCTCCAGGAGCTGGGGCGCAGAAAGATACCGCTCTACATGTGCTTCGTTGACTTGAAGAAGGCGTATAATTCGGTGGACCGAGAGATGCTGTGGAAGGTGCTGGCCAGGGCCGGGATTCCCGCGAAGCTGATCGAAGTCAT